CACTTCTGAGTGCTTTATACCTAGAAAACCTTGGGAGGATGACCTTCTGTGAGCTTGCCCACGCTGTTAGATCATTAGGAGAGTCCTTTCTCTCAGTCTCACCAGCCTCACAGGCATGCTTGGTGGGGCCATGGGAGAGAGCCTTCTCTGTCAACTCCCCTCCCCACCCCCACGGGAAGCTAGGCTGGCCCCATCTTTGTTGTCCTTCCGCAAGAAGGCAAAGATCTTTCTCTTAAGGCAGGCTTTCCCTTATTGCCTGGTGGTCTGAGAGGTTTTTTTCAATGGGCTGTTGTGCTCTATTAAAACTGCTGTTTTAAATGTGTTTTACTATTGGTTTTACTTACCATTTTTAATAAAACATTCTGTCTAAGAAAAGTTGTTATTCAACTCTAACAAATGAATACTCTGAACTCTTCTCTCACAGGTTGCAAGGAGGGAAGCAGAGGAGAACGTGATCCACAGAGCATTTCATTTCATGCTAAAGACAGTCAGTCAATGGAGCTGGAGGTCAGGTTTCATGTCACAGGTTTACGTGATGACTATTGTAAGTTTCTCCTTCATTTCCTAAAGCATTATATGAGAAAGTGGAAACTTCTAACTTGAATGTATCAAGGAAGGCACAGTTAAAGTGGGTTGAATGGACAGATAAATAGGATGGGCATAAATTCTCAATCAGAATTTGAAAACTTACTTTAAAAAAAACCCTATACATCCCAGAATACCCAGCCAGTGTGACTGCTGGGAGGGTCTGGGAGATATAACCCAAAAAATAGTGTTTTCAGCTGCCATTCTGGATGATGCTATTATGTACCATCAAGCTGCTTCACACTTATTACGGCCTTATGAATAAATGACCTCCAAAATATCTTGTCCTCAACAGCTCTGCTCAGGTCTGGTAAACGCAAGGCTGCAGCTTCCTTTATGGTATGAATCTATCTCGCCTTTGGTCTTCATTCTGGATACGTCATTGAAAAAAATCACCATATTACAGAATCACAGATTTCATATTTTTCAATTAGAATAAATTATGCAAACTAGGGGCATTCATAGAATTATTTATAACTATATAAATGCCACGTTGGGTCCTTTTAAGGAGAAAGGCAGGGTAAAAATGTTTTTAATTAATTAATTATGCAGATTTTAAGTTGAAATATATGTTGTAGAAATTAGATTTTTTTAAAAAAACTTCAATAAAATGACTATTAGAGATGTACTGTTCTTTTTATTTTTACTCCAAATTCCAGAATTCACCAAGAATACCCATGCAGAAGCACAATACCTGCAAACACATATCTGCAGGCACTTACATTTCATTCACTTGGAGAAGGCTGAGGTTGCCTTCTAGACCTTATTTCCTGCTGCAGTGCTTCCTGGGCATTTTTGTCTTGTTGTCTTTTATGTTCTTATAAAGGGCGCCTACTGAAGAGCTACAGTACTATCTTGGGAAGCATTGCAGCAACTTCCCCCCAGAAAGCAGTACAAAAAGAAAGAAGGTCCAGGAGAAGATCTAGAAGGAGGGCTCAGTGTTCTAGGTGAATAAAATTAAGGTGTCTGCAAGTGTGTGTTGTCTATAATTTCCAAGCAGGTATTGCTAAGTGATTTTAAAATTATAATATCATCAGATGTGAGTCATTTATATAACCCTTCGATGCCTTTCGCTACATCATATTACTTTCAGTTTACAAGTTGTCTTCTAGTATTGTTCGTACTTGTTTGATTATGACAGTGCGTATCTTAAGTGTTTCATAGTATATATGCCCCCTTTTAAAAAACACTGGGAAAATGGCATAAGAGTATCAGTTTCCCACTGCAAAGTACAACATGGTGTTTTCCTGATAATGAAGGATATTTGTTGCCTTGTAGTTCATAAAAACTATGAAGGATAAAATATGACTGGAAGTCGTAAAAACCAAAGTCTGGTGGATTGTTCTATTCGTCCATGTAATCCAGGAGTGAGGAACATGTGCCTATTTAAAGCATGGGACTGCAAATCACAAGGTTCCTCATTATGGACTGTGCTGGCTAGGGTTGAGGATGTTTTTAGAATGCAACTCTCCTGTGTTGAGAGTATTCCTACAGAAAAACACGCCTGATGTCTCCAGAAAGCCCACAATTAAGGACCAAAGGCCTTTCCCATTAGTGCTCCCAAGCAATTGGAAGTCAGAGGCATGCTGGCTCTGGACAGGGAAGATCAATATAGCCAGCATAGCTGGTAGATATTGGCAGATTTGTCCTCCATGAATTTGTATAATCGTCATTTATAGCCACGCAGACTGATAGCCAACCCCACATCATGTTGGGTCATGTTTCATAAAACTGCCATCTCACAAAAGGCTCAAGGGATAGAATACCCATTATCCTATTGCCCTGTATCATGTGTGTAGTATGTTGTGTGTGTGGTGGATTCTTTTGGAGCTTGTAGAAGCAGATATTTAGTACTTCCCCACACAAGTGTAAGCCCCATTGGGAGCTTTCTGGGCAGAGCATTGCATTCTACCTGCAGTGAACAGAGTACTGGCTGAAGACATGGATATCTGTGTGTTCCCCACTAGATGGATCTGTGCAACTTGGGATCAGAGTCAGATTTGTCAGAAAGTGAAACTTATAATTTGCCTGGATGGAATATCCAGGTTTAAATCTCCGTGGAACCATGAAGTGTATAGGGCAACCTTGAACCAATCATTGTGTCTCAACCTAAACTAACTTACAAGATTGCTGTGAAAGTAAAATGTAAGAGGAAAAAGATAAGAAGCATGTGTAGCACCTTGAGCTTCTTCTAGTTGAATTGTGGGATAATTGGTAAATAAATTGAATGAGCTCCTCAGGTGAAATATGCGGTTTAAGTGAAATCATACATCACCTTTCTCTGAACTTTTCTTTTCAGTACTGTGTAAACTAATCTCAGTCTAAAATCCAATAGTCACAGCTAGAGTAGGCCTATTGAATCAATGGAATTTACGGAGGAATTGACTCACCAACAGACTTCCTCTAGTTGTAACTAACAACTGGGTTTCAGCCGCTGTGTGAGTCCTTTCTTGTACCTGTATATAGTTATCATGACTAATGCATTTAATCCTTATTTTAATATCCTGCTGTTAAAACAGTAATTTTCATCATAATCATTCTGTTAAAGAAATAGATAACTTTTTTTAAATGTACCTTTAGTTCAAGAAGTAATTTTAGGTAGATTTTTTTCCCTTCCTAGATCTAAATACATTGGAATGGAGCCAAGAAAATCTCATTGCTCTTGCTCTAGAATCAGCTGTACACATTTGGGATGGAGAAAGGAACCAAAACGTTGCAAGCATAGATTTATCTGCCACTTCCAAATATATCGCTTCTGTAGCATGGATGAGAGAAAACACTTATCTTGCATTGGGCACTAGTGATGGAGAAGTGCAGGTACTGGGTAACTAATTTTATAGTCTCATTTTAAAATAACACATATACTGACATCTCATGCTGTACTTCAACTAATAAAAATGCATGAATAATTATTTTGTTTGAACCTATGATCTTGAGCTGGCTGTTGTTGCACTTGTAATTGGCTTAGTTGTGACACACTTCTTGCTTGGCATGTGAGGAGGAATGGCTTTAGGTCTTACAGAGGGTCTTGCAATGAGGGATAAAATGTCCGTAGCATGAAGAAAAGCTGTAGCTTTATAGCAGAGTTTATATATTGCAGGTTCTAGTTCCAGTCCCTGAACTCTTTATGTAAGGCTGGGAACGACTCCTGTCTGAAGCTCCAGAGTTCCAGTTGTTCTAGGCAAAAACAGCAGTCTGGCTCAGTGTAACTCAGATTCTTAAGTTAGAATGCAGCAGCAGCAACAAATGGAAACACTATTTACTTGTTCATGGCATTTACCATTTCTTTTTAAGATGAGTGTTATTTTATTTCATTTTAATATTGTAATCTGTTGTGACTTTAGTTGTGTAAGGGTACAGCTATGTTTGCAGCAGGGAGCAAGCCAACTTTGGAACAGTTGGGCTTGATTAGAGCGATCCCCTAAAGCCTGGTGGTTTACACAAGAATTACTTCTGCCAATATCCTGAAGTGGCTTAATAAGCGGGCCACTTCAGGATATTGGCAAATTGATCACTTCCTCTGCTCCTTGGCAGAGGGCAGGGGAAGTGATTTTTTTTTTACGGTATAGACTGGATTATTTCTGATGCAGTGCATCATTTATAGAAAACAATTACTGTACAAAATCTGTTCTTTGCCTTCTCCTAAAGTGTCACTTGAGAGTTAAGTGTGCAGCTTAAGCCCCTGGGCATAAAAAATAATAATAATCAAAAGGAACCATATTGGCATAGGCAGGCTGCCAGACACCAGCAAAAATAATCCAAAGAAATGTAGGGTGGGAATCAAGAAAAAAGCAAGAAAAGGTGCAAGAAAAAAAAAGGCAAAAAAGGAGGAAAGGATCCACACCAGCAAAAATAATCCAAGGAAATGTAGGGTGGGAATCAAGAAAAAAAGCAAGAAAAGGGGCAAGAAAAAAAGGCAAAAAAGGAGGAAAGGATCCAAGATGGAGGGCAAGCAGGAGGGCCACCACACAATGATCCCACAAAGAACAACTTGTGCATTGCTTAGTCCTCACTGGATTCTAGGCCTTTCTACAGATTAAAAGTTCCCACTCCCCACATATGTTCTGGTTGGCTGCTGACAGCTTTACAAACTCTAAATTCCTACTCCGATCCAGAAATTTTGATTGGCTGCTTACAGCCAATCAATGAAAAATGTCTCCGGCAGTTTGACTTATGAAGGGCACCAAAACATTGAATAAAAGAAGTAAAACGAAAAACATATAATGTTGGTGGGTCTCTCTTTCATGAACACAAAACATTTGTGTTTGAGAAGATACTCAGTGGAAGAGTATGAATTACAAGAAATAAATCCTCTTTCACGCTTGGGGTCTTTCATTAAAACACATATGGCTCATCCCTAGAAGACAGACAAGGGTTAGGGAGAGATTGTTTTGTATCTGCTGCATGGATTGATAATGTCTCATATTGTTTTAACTGTTCCTCAGTTCAAATAAAATTAGTGTTTAATCTTCATCCAGCCAGATAAACAAATTTGCACTGAGTGACTTCTGGAGGATTTTCTGACCTCAATGGAATCTAGTGTATTGAGGGTTAGCAGAACATATCTCTGCTGTCATAGTGGAGACAGCCTAATGACAACCAGAATATACCATTGCTCATTCTTGGCCTTGTGACTTGCTGAAAATGGAGCAGGTGTTACCCTGTTTCCCTGAAAATAAGACCTAATCTAAAAATAAGCCCTAGTATGATTTTTTCAGGATGCTCGTAATATACCCCCAAAATATTCTCCAGTTAAGTGAAACCCCACCCTCCACCCTTGTGCAGCAACCAGAAGAAGATGACATTATTGTATTTGAATAAATGTAGATTGTTGTACATTAAAAAATTAGAACAACCCCTGAAAATGAGCCCGAATGAGTTTTTTGGAGCAAAAATTAGTATAAGACCCTGTCTTATTTTGGGGGGAACATGGTCTTTTGTCCCAGTAAACCATAATGGCTGAGGCAAAAGATTTACCTCATTGGCAGTATGCCATAGATACACAGGAACTGTTTCTGTACCCATTTTTTTGCCTATAAAAAAGCTGCATATGGCAAGTGACTGTAACGTGAGGACACTGTTTACAATTCTCCAAGCGACTATAGTGTAAAAAGTCTATCTTGTGGGTATGGTTTTGTGTGAATTCTGCTACAGATGATGATTCTGGGACTAGAGTGTCCCATCTACCAGGATAAGGATTAAGCTAACATGTTTATCTCCCCATCAATCTTTCAAGCAATATTTCTTGTGAACAATCATATTAGTTGACATTAAGCTGAAATTAAAGATGTGCCAGTGGGCATACAATTATTGTTTTGACAATTATTTTTATTATTTTGGTCAGCTGTGGGACATTGAAACTCAGACAAGGGTGAGACGTATATTTGGTCATATGTCTGTAATTGGAGCCATGAGTTGGAATGGATATGTACTTAGCAGGTGAGCAACAAAATAAATAATGTGTCATGTTCCATTTGAATATGGGAGAAGACGCTGCACAGAGTGGTCTTCAACTGACAATTGTTTATTAACATCTCCCAGAGCATAAAGCAAGATAGAGGGGCAAACTAATGGCTGGGGAAGGGAAGCAAAACAAAATTCAAGGAAACAAGGGCCTGTCCAATGGATGAACCAAATTCTAGGCTTAATCAGAGTGGCATGTCTTCCTCCCTATTCATTTCTCAGTCTCTCTTGTGATATTTACAGATTGTGAAAGGACAGGTTTTTACCACAATTTTTGCAGTTCATGGTGAAAGAAATAACAAAAGAGGGTGAGGGAGGTGTAAACAGGCAAGCAATGTGTAATTATCTCTTGTGCTTGCTACCATTCAGATGTGTTGAAAAACAGCCCTGACAGTTGCTTTGTGCTTGGCTAAGAGGTGGTTAACTGCTGAAAAAAGGACCCTGCTTTTGGGATTTTCCCTTGCTTAGTGTCACTTTGTGAATGGTAGTAGTATCCTATAGACTAGCCATTCTCATCCTTTTTTGGCCATGGCCCTTTTAGGATCTCTTCTCCTGTGAAACAAGGATATAACAAGAACAGATGAATAGAAAATCTCCTTCTCACATTTTCTGTGTGTGTCCCCCTTCAAATGTGCCCCCGTTGAGAATGGTTGCTGTACACCATCTTGACTGCTGCTATTGATGATGTCAACATTCAGGCTGCCCTTTGCTATGTAAAGTTTGGCATCCTTTTGCCTGCTGGCTGCATGGGCACTACATTGTGCAGCAATATTAGGCCATTTCCTGACTTTTTGGATTGTGGGTACAGAAGCACAATATTGCACATTCATAAACTAGAGGTGTCTTTTTTTTTTAAAGAACTGACTTATTTTAAAGAAAGATTCATTTATGAAAATGCCATACATTACATTATATTTTGTATCATATACCCTGCCTTGAGTTAGGTTTGTACACAGCTTTGTTTGGTAGAAGGAGTCCCAACAGTCCCCAAGTCTTACATTACTTTGGAGAAAAGTAAACCAAGAACTAGACAGTTACAGGGCAGTGGGTGACATTTCCTGTTATTACAGTGCCAAGGGAAAGGGCTGCCTTGATCACTGCAGGTGGTTATTTTCCATTTGTCTTCATCTGAGTCCACTTACAATTAAGTCATAGGGTGACTCTTAGCATTAGTGTCATTTTCTACTTTGGTTTGGGCTTTTACTGTGTAAATTTCAGATGCTGCTGAAGCCTACTATGGAAAGATTTGTGTGAACAGAAAATGGTGATCTCTTATTTTTTCTGGTTCAGTTGGAAATGTGAAATTCTTAATAACCCATCTGTTCTCATTATCACTTGCCTGTTTTCCCAAAGTTTTCCTTTCTTGCTTCTTTTTCACAAAGTCTTGGTTCTGTCCCGTTTGTGCTGCCCCTAAAGCAGTGGTCACCAACCTTGGGCCTCCAGATGCTCTTGGACTACAACTCCCAGAAGCCTTCACCACCACCTCTACTGGCTAGGATTTCTGGGAATTGAAGTCCAAGAACATCTGGAGGCCCAAGGTTGGGGACAACTGCCCTAAACAACAGAATGGAGATGGTACAATGCAGAACGCCTCCATAAATAGTAAGGCCAGAAACTTAATAGCATGAACTGTGTACACATTCAAGCAGGCTGTCCATCATGAACAGCAGATATTGTATTGCAGAGTAGGCCCCCAGAGGGCATGAAACCACTTGCAGAACTATCATCATGCACAGATTTTTCAACAGAGTTGTGTCTTTTTTTAAATTGAATATACATCCACTGTGCCTTTTCAGCTTCTACCAGTTCTTTGGTACTTCCCCCCCTGATTAATGTGAGACAAAGCCACTTTTTTAAAAAAACGAGAACTCCAGGTGTCCCGGAGGAATGACCAGGAATGCTGGTCATTGTCATTGGGGAAAAATTTTTTTTTTTTGCAAAGTACAAGGTACAACTGCAAATGTGTTTATCTAATTTTTATTTATATTTCTATACAGCCTTTTTGAGATCCATGAGAAGATTTAACATATAAAACAATAATCAGAATAAAAGATAATAAAACAATAAAAGAACTGTAGTAACAGTTTAAAAGTGTAGTTTTACAGATGTGTTCTTACCCTCTTTTTACATGAGGAGAATGTGGGGACCAGTCACACCCTGCATTCCACAGCTGGGGAGCAATGCAGGAGAAGGCCCACACCAATACTGAACAGGTATACCTGTACAAGTAGGTATTTTGGATAGTTCAGTGTTTCAGGTTTCTGGATACGGAGCCAGAGGTTGGGAATATGGTTCCCCATTCTGCCCTGCTGACAAGGGTTGATGATTTATAGGGTCCCTTCCAGCCTCTGCAGTTTGGTTATTCTTCATTCTTCTTATTTCTTCAAAGGGTCTTTCTGCTGATCTTAATAACCAAGTAGATTCATATTGAAACTGGCAGTCCCATCAATAGTCAGACCGCTGGGTAGTTTAGATCTTTACAAATTGAAACCAACGCCTTCAGCTAAGGCTAAACAGTTAGCAACCAGGCCTGGTGTTTCAGTATTGGAGTGACGTTCTTGTGATACCCTACACTGTTAAGCAGCCCAACTGACACATTTGTACCAATGGAATGAAAATTTCTAATTCCAGTTATTTGCATTCAAGAATACTCTGACATTTTGTGCATTTCTGATATCCAGATTATGAAGTTCATTGACCTTAAGTAGTGTTGTTTCTTATTGTCCACAGTGGCTGAAGGCTAGGATATATTCATCATCACGACATTCGAGCAGCTCAGCATCTCATCAGGAAGGTTCAGCAAAGCAAACAGAGTGTCTGTAGTTTGCAGTGGTCTCCGGACTATAAACTGCTGGCGTGTGGTTCTAGTGATGGCCTGATAAATATTTGGTCTAATGATCTAGGTGGGACTGTACAATCTACACCACTGCTTACCTTATGCCACTCCTCAGCTGTAAAGGTAGGATGAAAAGGGAGCCTTCCAATTTCATTTGCACATTTCAGATGTGTAGTTCTGTCAGAGTTTATGCCACTGCTGAATTACAGTCCACCAGAAAGTACACTAGCAGTTGGTGCTGTTTTCTTGTTTACAATTTTTCTATTATAACCAAGTAATGTTTTGTTACAGTCAAAGACCAGCACTTCCGACAGTCAAAATTATCTCTGAGTTGCTGGCGTAGTTGCCAAAGCAGGAGAGAATGGTCACTTTGAAATCATGCCAACACTGCTTTCCCCCTCATTAGGCCATGAAGTGGTGTCCGTGGCAGCCTGCGCTCATTGCCACAGGAGGTGGAATGAACGACAGATTTTTACGTGTTTGGAACATAAGCAACACGACGAACTTTGAAATTGCTGATACAAAATCTCAGGTAAAAGCATAGTCTGTCTGCTCAACATTCTTTAGTTTTCCTGGTATGGTATTTCCATGTCCACAAGAGTTCCAGCTTGTCCTAAAAGACTGAAATCTGCTTGCAGTTCAAAGACCCAGCTAAAGTAAAGGAGAGATCAGGACACTGTGTGAACATTGCAAGAAGATAGTACTGTATATACTGGGAGCGTCCTATGTGTAAATTGTTGTGAAATGAATCACCTCGTACCCATCAGTTTTTCTGATTAGCTTCATACGTGAAGGATGACACATGTTGAACTGCTTGAAAGTCTTATACATTTAGTCCATTTAGTTGAACAATTAAAAGTTTCATTATCTTTTGGAGCAACTATGGTTGATTTCTGGATCTCTTGGTTTGATGATGGCTCCTTCGTCACCCATGTGTCCTGGGCTGCAGCATGTTGAAGCCCCTTGCATTTCATATCATTCACACAACTACCTCCAATCAGATTTTCTTGGCTTGCTTTCCTCTTTCCATCCCTCCCTTTTCTGTATTTTAATAACCCTGGAACAATTGTGGTTGAGTGTGGAACTGCAGATTCACTGTAATGGAATCAGCCTCCACATGTTTCCCTGTTCTTTGCCCCTCAGAGCATGAGGCATTGAACATGTGTCATGCCATCTTTAAATCAATGCAACACAACATGAAATTATTATACATATATGTGTATAACAAAGTTTTTTTAAAAAAGCAAAATGACTTCAGCATGGGGCTAGGCTGTGCACAGCAGTTGCAGGGACAGAATGCTCAACCCTGGGAATGCTGGTGTATGAGGGCAAATGGGGCATTGTTTTCCCTTGCTTCAGCATGGGGCTAGGCATCATGCAGGGACAGAATGCTCAACTCTGGGAATGCTGGTGCATGAGGGCAAATGGGGCATTGTTTTCCCTTAGCTCAGAGGTGGCCTATCTGTGGCCAGTGGAAGCTGGGGACTCCAATGTTGTAGGGGCTGTAAATCCATTCATGGTTTTAGTCTGAACTTTAAAGGAGTGATACATTATGTTGAACCTATTTTAAGGATAGGGTTCAGCACCTTAGGGAGCCCCAGTAAAGTTCTAACTAAAACTCAGAGTGGATTCACAATTCCTGCAGTATCACAGACAACAGTATCTACTACCTCTGAGCAGTCCAGGCAATACCTGTCAAGCTTGGCTCAGCCCATCACTGACTGCAGTGCCTTCTGCCCCAGCAAACACAGTGGGCACCAGCCACCAGTGCTTAACTCTTTCCCAGTTCAAGGTTTTTAATAGTCTAATTGCATGAAAACAGTGAATTCTCCCTTTCTACAGAGTTGAAAGCCCCATAAAGTATCACTTAGAATTCAGCAGGCATGGAAGTGGGAATCTCTCAGAAGGCAGAGAAACAAGTAGAAAGGGCATTGAGTTTATATTCTCTCTGTTGCTTGTTCCGTCAGTTTGATTCCTCTCAAAAATGTTTTTCTCTTTTAAAAACTGAAACAGAACAAAAGTTGTCAGGAGGACATACTAAAATGAAGTGAGCTTTTTAAAAAAAAAAATAACAATATTCTAGGTATGCTCCCTACTCTGGTTGCCAAACACCAAAGAAATTGTTACTGGACAAGGCCATCCGCAAAATATGATGAATGTTTGGAAATATCCCGTTCTTTCAAATACAGCAGGACTTCATGGTAAGCATGTTCATAACTACAGTGTGTTTGTTGGTTTACATGTTTGCAACATATTTCTGTCTGTGTGGCGAGCTTATTTTCAGCTTTGGACATGTTTTTGCAAGAAATGCAGTGAAGACAGCATTAGAATAGCTCTGAACAGCTTTTGTGTTAACCACAGACTTGGGATATCAGATATTATCTTGAAGATTGAATTAGAATGGTTCTTGTATAAATCTCAGCATTGAGGTATTAGATATTTTCCTCAGAACAACAAATGTAAAAGGAACACAATATATACTTTGCTACTCTTGTTAAAACTACTACGTAAGGTCTTAATCTAAAACTCTGTAGAAGGAAACACAACCTTTAATATTTTCTTTTCTACTAAGTTGGGAATTTGGAATATGTACTTTCAATTGCAATAAGGCATAGAACCAAAATGGCTTAAAATCAATACGTTTAAATGCCATCTATTCTGTAGAAGATTCATAAAGATATATTGGCATTGTGGGCTGAGCTAGGAAAAATTATAGGCCAGAACCCTTTTGGCAATTTGCATGTACATGAGTGAAATAGCATAAATTACAGCAGCAAATTGCTGCTAAACAAGATGCCAGTTGTTTATCAACTTATGGTTAGTCTGATTGCTCTATTAACCTTGTGGTGCCTGAAACACAAAGTCCTTTTTTTGCTTTTATGCTGAGAACTATAAGATTAATTCAGGGCAAGACACAAGTCAGAGATTTCAAAATCGTACCAGATTGACATAAGGTGGATGGTTGCATTTGAATTAAAAGCAGCAAATTCACAACAATGAATTGTTTTAATTGAAAGTGAAGTCTGCTTTTTTTTTTTTGAGTTTTTGAAGATACTATACCTCTTGCATTTACCTCAGAAACAGAATGCTGTGGTCATTTTCCATAAGTGCTTGGTACACCTTTCCTGTCGGTTTCACACCTTTGCTTGTTTGAAAACAAAAACAAAACAAAGAGGATGGGTGGGGAAAAAATCCCAATCTGTTATCTTAGAAAGATTAGTTCTGCAGTTCATGCGTCATGATGCAGACAGTTATGCACAGTAAGTTTAAAAAGCGACTCCCCCTGTAAATAGTCAAACCATCCCAAGTATTAAAAGGGAATGTTGGATACGACCAACTTTGTGATGTGAAGAGGTGTGGTCAGAAGATGAGGTTATGAAGAAGGCTTGCTGCGTTTGTTGAATTCCTTGTTTAGGTATTCTTTGATTTGATTAAAAGAAAGAAATTATAGCCCCACTGTCAAGGAAGCTGCTTAATTGACATAATGACTAGAATCCTAAATGGATTTGAGGAAGATAAGTGGGGAAAAGCACGAACAAGCACACGTATTTTGCTTGCTGTCCTCTCACAGTCCTCCATTTTCTTTAATCATGATAATGGTTGAATGATGGAAGACAAGCCAGAAGGGAAAAACTGCTGTATGCAGTTATTCTCAACAGCATTTTGGTCAATGGGTGTTCTCCAGAGAAATTATTTGAAGAACCAGATGACAGAAGCTTGTGGTTATTAGAGGATGAGCACACACACCCCAAGACAATGGGCCATTAGTGAACCTAGGGGATACATTTACATAAAGAGAGACCATGTGCATGTATTGTGTGAACCTGTCTTCAGATATTTGTTGGTTTATTTAAAGCAGTGGTTCCCAACCTTGGGTCCCCAGATGTTCTTGGATTAAAACTCCTAGAAGCCTTCACCACTAGTAGTGCTGGTCAGGATTTCTAGGAGTTGTAGTCCTAGAACATCTAGGGGCCTATGGTTGGGAACCATTGGTTTGAAGCATTTAAACAAATGCTTTAGTCAAACTAAATACCTTATAAAGTTTTGTAGCATGACTGTCTTTACTCTTAGGCTTACTATCTAAATTTATGACATAGCATATAGTGAATCAGGGATAGAAAATGAAGAGAGGGAAGGGAAATTGAGTTCTTATGATGACCAGCTAGATGGAGACATGTTGGAAAATGAAAGTAGAGGAAGAACCAAAGTCAGCTGGTTTTAGCAAGATGGTGGAACAGCCCCGCTCCTTTTCATTTCCTCTGTTCCTCAGCCTGTTAGAATGGCTGTTTTTTTTCTGAGCATTTTGTATATGATAGTCCCTGTGGGGTGGGTTACTGGTTAAAATCCCAGGGTGTTGGGTTCCTGTTTCCACATAAGAGCTGGCCTGATAGTCTGTTAGGTTGCACTGCTTCTCAGCCTTGGGCATCCAGATGGTCATGGGCTACAACTCCCAGAAATCTTGGCCAGCACAGCTAGTGGTGAAAGCTTCTGGGAGTTTTAATCCAAGAACATCTGGGGACCCAAAGTTGGGAACCACTGCTTTAGGGCAATTATTGCCATTAAGCAAAGAGAGGCAGTTCTAGTAGGTTTGGGGCATTATGAAAGGATAGCAAATTGTTAGTTATTGAATTTATAATGATTTGTGGTATCCTGTTGGTGTTTGTGTGAGGTTTGTATAATTTGTTGTGGCTAATTTTGGCTAATTGACAAGGGCGCATCTCAGTTGCAGTAAGTAAGATGAGGGGCCAGAGATGC